GAAGAAAACTGTCTCTGTATTCTCAGCCGCCTCAAACACCGAGTGAGCTCAAACTTTACACCAGAGTATAATCCCCTGGAACTTGCGAGGCTTCCTCTTCCCTATATCCATCCAATGGCCACGCTTTACAATTCCCAAATTCGAGGCACACCTTTTAATGCTTCTGGAGAGGAAAGGTGACAGAGAAAGAGAACAGGAAGTTTCATTGGAACCGACACTTCATGCAACAAACTCTTCCGGCAGCCAGATTTGGTCTTTTAGGAGGCAGGTGCATTCATGGCAGAAGCCTAATTCACCACTAGTACGGCTCAGTTAGCTGCATCAACAATGTAAGGTGCAGTGCAGCAAGGGCTTTGGTATTTTTACGAGTGTCATCTGAACTGCAATGGAAGGGAAAGGGAAACAGATACAAATACAATGTTGCATCATGAAGTAACAATTTTTGAAATGGGGAGAAGAGAGAGAAATGGAAATTAAAAAAAAAAGGTAAGGCAGCGGCAACTGTCCTGGGGCATGTTGTGATCACCAGAGGAGCTACAGACTCCAGCAAATCAAGGCTGGCGACTGCCAGGCAATGGGGCCTCAACTTCTGCTGTCTTCTTTCATCCAAGGCATTCTAATGATGCTTATCTGCCTATATGTAATGTGTCCCACTTCACACTGAACATGGCCAAGTCAGCAGCTATAGATGCAGCTGACTGTCATGAAGGTGAAGTTTCCTCGTGGCCACACAAGGCTGCCTGGTCTTCAGATATGCCCGGCCCTTGGGAATGTTATGCCTCATTGACAGCGCAGAGACAGGTTGGTTCTCTCGTAGCTGACAACCAGCCAGAGATGTTCTTAAAATGGCCACATGCACATACAAGGCTCCTGAGGATAGGCCATCGGTTGGCAGAAGAAAGGCCTGTTGGGATAAACACTCTCCCTTCCCACGTGGGTAAGGCTAAGATTTTGTTATGCATATTTTTAGTAAAAGTCATGGACAGGTCACGGGCAATAAAAAAAATTCACGGAAGCCCGTGACATTTACTAAAACGATTCATGACAAAATGGGGAGCTGCAGGGGGCCTCCTGCCACGGCTCAGAACTCAGGGGGCCCCCACCATATCTGGCGGCAGGAGTACACCGCAGTTCTCAGCCGCCACAGGCGGTGGGGGGACCCTGCAGCACCCAGGCATCGTGAGCTGAAGTCACTGAGGTCTCTGGAAATCACAGATTTCATGACTTTCACAATCTCCATGACAAAATTGTAGCCTTACACATGGGCCCTGTGGCATCAGTGGCAGTTCACCACCAGTGATGGGAGCAGAAATCCCACCTCCCCAGCTCTCTTCCAGGGTCAGAGAAGAAGAGCCCAGCCCCCAGCAAATGTTTTATTTTTAGTTATAACTAAGTAACTAAGAGGTGGCCAGGAACGGGGGAGCGAGGACAGGTTCCTCTCTCTCCCTCCTACAGCAGTTGCACACGGGGTTAATACAGCCCCTATAAATTGTAGTGACTTCTGATGCCAGCTGGGGAGGGCAAAAGAGAAAGGAACCAATATGAAGCAAGCAGCACTACTCAGGAGGCAGAAAGCATCTCCACCATCCACCACTCCATGATGGGAAAATTAGATCACCTGCCTGGCTTGCCCACTGGTTTTCCCCTGAACAGGCAGGCTCAGTGATCAGCTGCCTTAGCACAGATGCTAGGGTTTACCTGCCTTGAGGGCTGGATGGACATGTAGATTAAAGGGATCAGACATTAACACTAACATCATCTACAGCTTAAAAAAAAAAAATCACAAGAGCCTCTGTCCATGTACTTCAGTCAAGTCATTGCCCAGGAGGGTGTATTATGGTGATTATTGAACACCTTCCCCACAATATTTGGTATTTATCATTGTGGGCACCTAGGTACCCAAGCTGAAGGACCATTAGTCTGCTGTAGTATGACAACAAAGAGAACAATGTTCCATGGCAGGGGAGTGGGTCTTAGCTCCGGCACAGGTTAGACAAACCCGTCAGGGATGGTCTAGGTTTCCTTGGTTCTGCCTCAGCATAGGGGGCTGGACTTGACTTCTCGAGGTCCCCTCCAGCCCTGCATTTCTATGATCATTTCTCTTAAAGCTGGTTCCTTCCCCCCCAATGCAATTCAGATCACTTTCACAAATACTGCTCAAGAATATCCTACTCCTAAGAGGGCAGGGGGATTTAAAGCAGCATTTCAGACAGTTACTGATGTTTTAAAATGACTTAAGTAACCCTCAGCCCTGAGATAGACTGATGTCATTTACAGACACTCCGAGTAATATGAGACAGTTCCCTGGTGTGGAGTGGCGTTTACTCTGACCCTGCTGCATGAATCGCTTGGTTAGCTTTAGGGAGATAATTTCACGAGAAACAGCACTCCAACCAAATTGTTGTTTTAGCAATGATACGTAAGAGAAGGAAGTGGTAGGAATGTGCAATGAGGCAGTGATTTCACAGCTACCAGACAGATACAGTATGAAAGCAGCTTTCTGTCTCTGGAACCATCTAGTTAAAAAAAAGGGATTCTTTTTGTAGGGGGATTCTTGCTGTAGTTCTTGTGAATATATTCAGGCTGTTTGGAGAAAACATAAAAATGCTGGACATTCTCATTGCCATGGGGCTAAAGTACAAATGAGTCATAAAAATATCCCAGCTAGAACATAGGCATTAATGCAGAGTTCAGGAAAACTCCAGTCTTCTCTTGTAAACATAGTAAAAACATTGTGAAGTTCAAGGCTAAGCAATTCAGTAATTTAATAGTGGTTGTTCAGTAGAAAAGCAGTGGCAAAGCATAAAGAAATATGCTCCCCAGCATCAGTGCAGGAGTAAGGCCAGGAAGCTGTAATGATATTACACTAAAGAAACAAAAAGAATAATTTAGTTTTCTTTGTTTGCACAACATTCAAAGGACATTCTAAGAAGAGTAGAGATGAGTATTTATAAGCTTCCCTCCCTTGGACAGGTGGTTTAAAGGGTAAGCCAAGAGATAAGACAGAGCAGACTTTCACAGATGCACTGCGCGTTACCGAAAAGGAGGGAATGCCAGATGGTCTCAGATGCTGCTGGGAACCTTGAATTGGTCTGAGCTTTTTTGGTTTCCAAAAAGAGACCTTATTTAGAAGGGAGTGGCTGGAGTAAGCCAACGGATTATCTTGACGAGAAAAAGTGCTTTCTTTGTGGTTTGAGTGGAACTGAGGAACTGTAGAATGCAGGTTTACATCCGAGGTTACAGTTGTTGGAGTAATTACCAGGCCTCTGGGACATTTCATATCTTGCCAGAAAAGAAACAGCAACAAGCAAGTGCTGGGTGGATTACAATTTTCCCCTAACTTGCTAGAATCCCCTATTGCTCCCTTAGCTAAGAGTTAAAACTCGCAGCACTATTTTCTTTATTGTTTCACTGGAAAAACAAAATGAACATTAATAGGAGTTTATACACTTTGGGGGGGGGGGACTAGGGTAAAGGGGACAAATGATGCCAAAGTTAAACAATCAATAATGGGAATGTTTACTTTCATCTTTATGTATCCCATAAATTGTTATAGGAGGGGCACGTTTTACACGAAGGTTGCTCAAGTAAAAGTATGTTGTGTTTGTGAATGATGACCTGCAGCTGTCCTTACAGGGGTAAAGGGGTTGGACTGTTTTCTGAAGGGAGGTTAACTTTTTCTGTGGTTGCAGAAGAGATATTTCTGACCACTTAAGATATTTTCCATCTGCAATCTCTGATTCTTAACAAGTTTAGTGGTCCCAAAATGGTTTGTGCTGCTCTGCTCGGGTTTCCCTCGCCCAGAAAGGTCATGCAGGACAAGACCATAAAGTAGGAGCATCCTCTGATTTTACAGCTGATTTCACAACTGACTCCTGAAAGCAGAACCGCTGTGTTTCTGCTGCAGAGAGTGCAGAATGGTGAGTCTACAGGGGGACCGTGTGTTATTCCTGGTGCACTGTGGAGTTCTATTCAGCAGTGCAGAGGAGAGGCCAGAGGGCTTGGAGGTGGGGCAGATACAAACCAGGAGAGTAGATCTGCCACAGGCCTAAGGAAGTGCACTCCTGCAACTCTGAGCTGTGCTGACATTTCCTGTGTAGGCTGGGGGAAGAATCTTCCACATTCCCTTTAGCTCCCTCATGAAAAGCCTCTTCACTCAGGCTGCATGGGCAAGAGCACCAAGCCCAGCGGGTCACTGGTGCTTAAACTGCCTTTATTTCCTCTCTTTCCTGTTTCAGTTTGTTTTTCTGCAAACAAGAAAGGAAACTGAGGGGGGGAGAGGGGAGCAAGCTGCAAACCAACGACCCTCTCCATTGTGCCACTGCTGCCATCCTGCCGAGCGGCTCTCCAACTTACCCCACTGCTCACCCAGTCCGTACCGTCACCAACCCCGCCTTGCCCCCAGGCACCGCTTTCCATCTCTGACCTGCTCCCTCCCGGGGCTGCTTCCAGTGAGTGCAAGGACTCCCGTTCACATTCCTCCCACAGCCCTGGCACAGCTAACTCCTCATCCAGCTGCAAGAGGTTAAGTGGGGACCAAGCATCCGCACAGCCTTTCCATTCAAGATACACATCTGTTAGCAGGCAAGCACTGAGCACGCAACGAGATTTCCGGGCACAGCTAACTCTGTCCTGGAGTTTAGAATAAGTGCAGTTCAATTTGCAGAGTACAGGCCGTCAGGGACAGAGAAATCCAGGGGATACGGATCATTCTGTGGATATTTCTACAACTCTCCAGAATCTGTTTTTTTTTTTAAAGTAAAGCTTAATTACACGTCAAGCCGCCGGGCTGTGCCGATAGCCTACACAATGTAAACTGACGCACTGATGTCTTGTCGATCTGCAGCTCTACAGGCAATGGTGGTAAGGGAAACACGGTTTTCTTTGCTTCCTGTTGCTAGAGGAAAGGTTCAAGCTTCCTTCCCCACCCCACCCCACCCCCCACCTTAACATTATAGGCTCCTTGGGACACGGCCCATTTGAAAAAGTGGGCCCTTGTAGGACGTGAGGACCAAGGACCCACAACGCCAAATGGAGCTGCTGGTACTATACCTCCAGGTACGAGGGAAAAAACCTGAATAAACAGAGCCTGTGTCTTTTAAATGGCTTAGCACACTTCTGGTGTGGCACGAATAATTAGCACGGTGAGCCACTTCACACTGTTACACAGCATACCGTATGTTGGGATGGTGCCCAATTGGTGTGGCCCTAATGAATGGTGAGAACATGGCTTGACACGACTGAACTGCAAAAGAGGATTTGGGGAGCAAAATCTCTCTCTGAGCATCAGACAGATGGCAGAGGTGAAACTGACTGGCTCCATGCTGCGGGTATGATCAGTACTGATCTTTGGGTCAGCAAATATGTCCACTTGAAAGCAAACAACACGTGCAGAACATCCTGAGCGGAGCATGGGCTGACCGGGGCATCTCGACCCTGTTGAAGGACATCACGCAGGAGGCTGAAGTGAATGATTGATAAGGGAGTGAATGTGGGTTAATGTTCAGTTGGCACCACTCTGCAGTCTCCTCCTGAAGTATTAATTAGGTAAAAATTAGTAGCCACACACCCAGACTTGTGACTCCTTTGAAGAAAAAGAGTATAGAAATCAAGCAAATGAAATTACTCTTGGGGAATTTCTTATTGACGCTTAAAGAAGCAACACTGCTACACAGAGTAGACAAAACTCTGCTCGGTGCGCTCGAGTAGGACTGTGAGCCAGAGGGGTCTCCAGGCAGCCAGGGCCTGGCCTCGAGACAGACCAGAGGGCTGAGGAGACCGGACCCGGAGAGAAGAAGTCGTCTATAGAATTTGGTAACCACTTTCTCTGTTTGCCAAGCAGGAACTGTGTGAGGCTAGCACAGGGCCTGTTTGTGTATGTTTGTGAAAGAGAGGCTCGCTAAGAGGAATGTATAGCTCTTACTGTATAGTTCTTTAATGTCTAACATAGGAGTTATGTGCTTAATGTAACCCTTTACCGCTTGTGTAATTCCTTTGCGAATAAACTGCAGTGTAGGCAGGGCCGGCTCCAGCATTTCTGCCGCCCCAAGCAAAACAAAACAAAACAAAAACAAAAAGCCGCGATCGCGATCGGCGGCAATTGCTAAAAAAAAAAAAAGCCGCGATCGGCGGCGGCAGTTCAGCGGCAGGTCCTTCGCTCCTAGAGGGAGTGAGGGACCTGCCGCCCCCGAATTGCCGCAGGTGCCGCCCCTCTCCCTTGGCCGCCCCAAGCACCTGCTTGTTAAGCTGGTGCCTGGAGCCGGCCCTGAGTGTATGCAAGTTAATTACTGTGGACCTGTCAGTAATCTGCTCCACTGGGAGCCATTGAAGATCCATTCGTGGTCGTAGCCCCCTGCTGCCAACACCATACACCCAGCAAGGACCCTTGCCTAGTGCCCTCAACCTGTTCTGACACTTCCATGCAAAAGCAACTGCTGTTGAAGTGACATGCCCCTTTCGGCAGCCGCACAAGCTGTGGATCGTGCTGGACAGCCCAGGTGAGATTGGACTCTAAGGAGCCCATGCCAAAGGAGAAAGAGCTTCTACACCCATGGGTGACTCAGTCGAAATTTACAAATTAAGTCTTGGGGAGCACATTTACATCTACTCCAATAAAAAGTAATCATGTGAAGCTGGAGATGTGTCAGACATTAAACTGGTAACTCTCCGGAGGGAGAGGAGGGGACGGAAGAGAAGAGCACAAAGGGGAGGAAATATACCCTGTCTTTGCAGAGGGTCCTTTCAATGGGGCTCTTCCACGTCTAACTGCCCTGATCTGCCTATTGTGCACAAGTGGTCGAATTAGGGAGAAGGGAGTTTTCAGAAAAGGAGAAATCTCTACAAGTTCTACTCTGACAGCCTATCCCCAGTGAGTCTGATACCACAGACTGGAGGGAGGACCAGAGTCCAGCCTGTCAGACTGGGATTTTACCTGCTGTTCCTGTATGATTTTTATATTACAGTCACGTGCCTACCTGAGGTGAAAATACATCCAGCCTCTTAACTAACCACTTTCTGAGACCTACTGCATCTCCAGAGCTACTCTCTGTGAGTGTGGGACACTCATCCAGGAGGAGCTACCTGAACACACAGACATCCTACTGTTTGATGTTTAAGGACATTGACAGAAGGAGGCGTTATAAAGTGACCATCTAATTGATCGATGCACAGATGTGGGGCAGGAGAACGCACTAGTCAGCTGGAATTAGGAAAGGGACAGAAAGTGGGACATTCAGAAGTGCTCAGCTCTGGTCTAACTCTGCTCGCACTGAAGTTGCTGGTGAAACTCCCATTGATTTAATGGGAGCAGAGTTAGGCTGATGTGCAGCGCTGTTGAAAGTCCCACCCAGAAGTTTGCTAAAGAGCAGACGTCACCAAGGGAAGGAACCATCTTGGACATGACGACAGGATGGCACGATCCCAAAACACTACTGGAAGCTTTTGATGCAGGAACCGCAAAAAGCTCCCACAGGGCGATAAGGAGGGGGGATGGAACTCTCCCCTTAGAGATGCAAACTGTTGGGTGCCTGATCCTACCCCACTGCAGTCACCGAGTTTTTCCTCACTGACTTCAGAAGGCTCAGGACCACCAAACGTTTTCCCTGTTCTCTGAGATATCAACGTAGGGCAACGTAAACCTTTCCACATTCCAGGTGGGGCTCGGCAGCTGCCCTTCCAGCAGAGGGTGCCTGGGAGACACAACGAATCTGTGTCTATCCTCTGGCCAACTTGGGTTCAACGCCCTCCTAGGGGACCCTGCCCACTTCTGGGGCTACCCCAGCCAGCCACAAACCCCCTGGCACAGCTGGGATCACAGACTATTTGTACTGCTGCAGCCATAGCCAGGGTTGTGCCAATAAGCCGGCAGGAGTTTGGGTACGTATCGGGCCCCAAAGCCTAGACCAAAGGAGAGTGCAGTAAAGTAACAGCACTGGCTTTAAGCTTAAGCAAAGCAAAGCGCTAGGCTGTGAGGTCCTCTCCCTATGCAGCCCTTTCCAGCAATGCTCAACAACTGGCCACCAGACTTCCCCCACTGCTTTCCACCCTGCCCCCCCGACCACACACATGCAGGTGCTAAGATCGGAAGGGGACGCAAACTTGTTACCCAGTCCCTCCCCCGCCAGCAGTTTGGGACGCCAGCGAGTATACCCACTCCGTAGCTCCCCTCACTTTGAGAAGGGGTTGGACTATATGACCTCCTGAGGTCCCTTCCAACCCTGAGATTCTATGATTCTATGAAAGCGAAGCCTTATTTATGAATTCACAGAGAGCAGGACAATAAGCCAGGTCATTTCAATGTCTAGCCATAAAAATCCAGATGGGGGGGGGGGGAAGAGGGCAGCCGGAATACCCGGTTCCTATCGCCCCTACTCACAAGTTAAGCTTAGTAACTTAGGCCCTGACCTTGCAGGCAGGCCTCCTGCAACCAATGCAGCAGCCGCCTGGGAGCCTTCAGGAGCTTTAAAACCACTCTCACCATTCAGACTCTTGTATGTGTATAAAGAAACTAGGAATCTGAGATGGGAAGATGCTTTCCTTTCTTTTCGAGTACTGCGCTCCTGAGCATCCCCAGCTACCTTTCCCGTAGTTAGCACTAAACCCTGGAGAGGTGCGACCCAAAGCACTGCTTTGAACGATCAATCGCATGAGCAACACAGTGCCTTCCAAACGACACTGAACTGCTCTCTGAGAGCATGTGGTTTGGGTTACATTTTCAAAAGCAATTAAATATTTGAGATAATCAGCAGTAGGTGCAATGGCTCTGGTTACGCTGGAGAGGTGAACTTGGGATCAATCCAAGGGCTTCCTATCCCATCCTCCCAATCCCATGCTGCAGCCTTGACAAAATCTTTATGGGAAGCCGCATGATGTAGTGGACAGAGCACCATACTTGGAGTCAGAACAGCTGGATTCTATACCGAATGCAGACACTAGTATGACCCAGGGCAAATCACTTGACCTCTTTGTGTCTCCGTTTTCCCTCCCACCTTTGTCTATTTTGTGAATTTAGACTGAAAACTCTTCTGTACAGTCAGTCTCTTATTATGTCTCCATATAGTACCTTTGCACAGAAGGCCCAAGCAAGATCAGGGTGCCATTATGTGCAACAGCAACACAACTAATCAATAAGATCTGTGGGAAGAAATAGTTGTATCCAGCTGAATAAAAATGACCCAAGTGGGTACTAAGCCACACAAGTGTGTAATTTTTAAATTTTAGTCTCTGATTCTGGGTGGGATTTTCAAAAATCCTGCCATCACGGAGGAGCACAAGTCCCACTGAAAGTCAGTGGGATTTGTGCTCCTCAGCGAGTTAGGCACTTCTGAAAACCCCATCCTCCATAAATAACACATTGAAAAATGAGTTTTGCAATAGGACAAGGGAACTCAACCATTTCCAAGTCACCCACCAACTTTTTTATTTTATTTGGGCCACTCCACCCATTACAAAATGAGTGGGGCCCTTTGTTTTCTGTTTTTGTTTTATTTAATTTGTTTTCAGGAATGTATCAGTGTTTATTACTACGACAACAAAAACAGGTCAAAAACCAGTGGAAAAAGCAATTAATAATTTTTCTGGGTAACTATGGGGGTTTATTTTGGTGGCCGGAAAGACTGGGGGGAAAAGTATTCAGTAGATGAACGCTTTGATGAATGCAATTCAATGTGGTTTGTTGCAGAACTAAAACCGAACTCAAAACACAACACCACCTCTAAGTTTAAGAAAACAATATACCTCTAATCCCCAAATAAAACTTTTCATTTCAATAAACAGTTTACTGTTGCAGACATAGAACTATTAGCCTATAAATATTTACATTGAATAATTGGGCCACACCATTTGCAGTGCACACACGCAACTTCATCCTTTTCTCCTGTTTTTGTTTTTTAAACTTTTGAATACCTCCTTGTGTTCTGAAACGTATTGTGACACAGATTTTTGTTGTCTTCCCATTTTAGTGTGTCAAAGCTTTAAACCATTATCTGCTAACAGCTTCAAATGCCTCCGTGACTGCTACCTGAGTTACTGCAGATAGGCTGCTATTTATCCTCACACTACCTCAATCAGAGCTAGCGAGTATGAACACGTGAGCAGGGGAATCACACCTCTACCTCGCATGGTAGAAATAGCCTTGACCTGGATTGGGGATGCCTGGGTGGGAAGTGTTGGTTTGGGATTGTTTTTTTTTTTTTTAAACCGTTTAATATTCTGTTTTCAGTAAAAATCACAGCCAAGAAATCCAGCTCTTTGGAACACACTGGAGTGAGAAAGATCTAAAGCAGCTCCAAGCAAACTGGGATGTTACTGTTAGAGAGATCAGTTTTACGAAGGTCTGTCACTCCTTCCAAAAAAATAGAGGTAAGGGGATCGACTCACCCTTGTGGGCACATGGGAGGGGAGGGGTTGAGAACCCACAGTTTGTACACACAGGCTCTGCCGGCTAACACAGAATGGGGAGGCAAGTGTGGGGGGGGAATACCTTGTTCCAGAGGTGGAGGGACAGGGACAGACTGTGGCACAGATTCTTCTGAGAATCCTGTGAGATGGGGTGCCTACCCCACACAGGCATAAAAGGGGTTAATCATGCCCTGCCCCAGAAGGAGCAATGGAGGTGAGTCCTTGTGTGAAGCACAGCCAATCAGGGAAGAGTTGTAGGGAGCAACCAATCTGGGCCCAGCAGGCTCAGATAAAAGGGAGCTGCAAGGCAGAGTAAGATCAGTTTCTCTCATGGAGCCCAGGAAATAAGGGCCGTGTCACTGAAGGGCTGAGAGAACTAAGCAGCTTGGACAGAGCAGGGAAGCAAGAGGGAGCTCCTGGCTGGCTGCTGGGACTGAGCAACTGAGTGCCCTGAGATGAGGGTGAAGAAGGTGCTGTGGCCATGGGGAAGTGGCCCAGGGAAATAGAGCAGCATTGACGGAGGGCACAGAAGAGCAGCAGGAGACTGCTAGTTACACGGTCCCTGGGACGGCCCGGGTCCCCACTACTCGCCACTGGGGAAGCGGCTGGACTGTTGGACAGCGAAACACAGATGATGACCTAGCCGGAGTCGCAAAAAAGTCACTGCGGTTCTGGGAGTTGAGAGGAGCCGTAGGCGGGAACAGAAACAGAGTGCTGGTGTGCAGACCACAGATGTGGGCATCAGCCTAGAGCTAATCCCCAACTTGATCAGAAGGAGGCACCAGTCTGGCGATGAAGGCTGTACCCCATGACACCCTGCTACAGGGTTCTCAGAAGACACCCTCTTGTTTCCCACCTGTCTAAAGAAACCCTGCTATCAGCAACCGTGCTAAAAATAGGTTTACTCCCACTAATAGCAATGACCAAGCTTCCATTGATACCACAAGGAGCAGGAGCAGCCCCCAGGGTTGCTCCTAGCAAGATGTCAACCTACACTAATGAGACCGTTGATTCTGGTGAACACAGTAAAGTCTGAGAGGCAAGGGAGAGCACTATAACTAACAGCCCTCCCTTGCTATAACGCTAAGAGAAAGCAAGTCACATTTACACAAAGTAGGAAACTTCTGCACCAGCTCATCTATGCCCATACTGACGCCTCTACCATTGTGCAATGCTTCGATATGTCATGGTTATTTCTCTCCCCACCCCACCGTTCTATAGCTATAGATTCCAACAACCAAACCCACCTTATTCAGCACCCTAATTCTGTACAACTAAGCATGCCTGTCAGCTCCATTTATTGTTGAGTCACAAAGAATTCATACAAGAGTTTTCACATGAAGAATCAAACAAACACGTGCCCCACCACTGCAGCTGGTGTTTGAAGAATGCAAAAAAAATCCATGTACCTGGCTTGCTTCCCTCTCTCTGATGGCCTAGCTGTCCTTTGGTGTTCAAGCCACAGGTGTAAACTTCTCCATTCTCCAGTAAGAAAACAGAATGGTTTCCTCCACAAGCCACCTCCTTGATGTTTCGGTCGTGAATGAATCCATACACCTGTGGCTCAGAGATGATTGCTTGGAGATTGCTACCTATCCCAGGCTGGCCAAAAGACCAACATCCCCAACATAACATTTTCTCTCTCTTCAGCAAGTCATGCAGCTTTTTTCCTTCCTGGGAAAGAAGAGAAATGAAAAGCGATGAACAAGTGATGCAACCACGTCCTGTTCTCAGAAGGAAGCGGAGCCAACACAAAAATATTTCCTGTCTAATCCCGTCATGTCTGTGTATTTGCTACATGGATTCACCTTTAATCCTTACCAGTAAATAGGACATTAGACAGTAGAATGAGGACTCATGGGCTCCACTCCTTGCTCTGCTATAGACTCAGTGTGTCACAGCTATTGTGCCTTATTTAGCTGCCTGGCAATGTATAAGACGGGGATATGATGCTTACTTTTTGAAGTGTTTTGAGATCTAGCAGGGAAAAGCACTATACAAGAGTGCTAAGTATTGTTATTTATACAAAACTATTCTTCCTCTGACCCTTAAAAACCACTACAATGTTCTAAACTAATGGCTCAAAACACAGCAGTTTATAACTGCATGTAGTGAGCCGGTGTGGCACCCCTCCGTCTCCGACAGGGCCAAGCTTCCTCCAACCCCAGCGTGGGCGGAGCCACCGGGTCCGGGGCCCGCCCCTCTGAGGTCACGGCCCTGACCCGGAAGTATAAAAGCCCGCCAGCAGAGCTCAGTGAGGCCCAGACTGCCAGAGAGAGCAGACGTCCCGGGCCGAGCTCCCGCTTGGGAGACAGCCACAGGCCGCCTGCTACCCCCCACGCCGGTCAAGCCTACCTCTCGCCAGGTACCCTGAGGAGGACTGGCCCAGCCTGCCCCGGACCCGCTACCCTGAGGAGGACTGGCCCAGCCTGCCCCGGACCCGCTACCCTGAGGAGGACTGGCCCAGCCTGCCCCGTGCCAGCTACCCTGAGGAGGACTGGCCCAGCCTGCCCCGGACCAGCTACCCCGAGGAGGAGCCAAGCCTGCCCTGTGCCAGCTACCCTGGGGGAGAGCTGCCGGACCGGCCCCGAAGCCCCGCACCGAGGAACCGATGCTGCCGGACTGGCCCGAACCTGGTGTCTCCAATGAGGTAGGCCCCGAGGGGGAACCTGGAAGTAGCCCGGGGGTAGCCGACCCCGGTCAGGCTGCAGAGGCCTGTGAGCCGATGTCAGTGTGTTTCGGTCAGGATACCCCACTGACCAGCAGCGGCAGTAACCGCTGCTAGGGCCCCGGGCTGGAACGCAGTGGAGTGGGTGGGCCTGCGTTCCCCCCTGCCACCCCGCTCACGGGTGGCAGGCTTCCCCCTCACCCAATGCTCAGGTGTAGGACTCTGGGCTTACCTTAACTGCTTGTTTGCTCAGCCCCTGCATCCAAGGGCCTGAGCTGTGACTGTTTGTGCCCCGCCCTGATCCAGGGCCTGGGCCTGCTTAAACTGCTAATTAGCGCTCAGCCCCTGCCTAAGGGCCTGAGCTCCCTGAACTGCGGGCCGCTCAGCCCCTGCGTAAAGGGACCTGAGCTTCGACTGTCTGCGCTATAGTGAGCCGGTGTGGCACCCCTCCGTTTCGGAGGGTAGAGCCCCGGCGCGACCGTACTACACTGCATTAGTGCAATGTTTTGGGCAATTACAGTAGACCACCTTTTCAAAGGATGATATCTGCAAAGAAGTTATTTAAACAGGTCCTGATTAGATTGATCTCAATTATTTACAGGGTACTGGCCACGTGCAATACCCTAGTACACTACTAGCTGAGAAATCCAGGCAGAGAAGGAATTTGCACTACTGAGCATAACCAAAACACGTTCGTTTGTGCACACATGTCCTCCCACCCACCCCAAGGCCATGAAGTATCCAGCAGAAAGGGTGCACCACATACAATTCCCATGGAGCATCACAACAACAGTTTAGCGTTTACACAACAAGATACTGACGTGAAAGTGACTTGCCCAAACCCGCATATTAGAACACCTGGCTCCCCATCCACTAAACCATCTAACAGCCAGCACCTTCACAGGGAACAGTAACATGGCACAAAGAAACAAAGATAGACAAAAAAGGAAGGAAAGAAGAAAACATGCAGCCAGCCAGTACTTGACAATGCCATAAGCCAGGGGTGGCCAACCTGTGGCTCCGGAGCCACATGCGGCTCTTCAGAAGTTAATATGCGGCCCCTTGTACAGGCACCGACTCCTGGGCTGGAGCTATAGGCGCCAACTTTCCAATGTGCCAGGGGGTGCTCATGGCTCAACCGCCAGCTCTGCCACAGGCCCTGCCTCCACTCCACTCCTTCCCACCCCCTCCCTGAGGATGCCGTGCCCTCGCTCCTCTCCCCTCCCCCCCCCCAGAGCCTCCTGCCCGGGAGGTGATCGGGAGGTGTGGGGAGGGAGGAGGGGCGCTGATCAGCCGGGCTGCCGGTGGGTGGGAGGCGCTGGGAGCAGGGGAAGTGGGGGACGTATTACTGTGGCTCTTTAGCAATGTACACTGGTAAATTCTGGCTCCTTCTCAGGCTCAGGTTGGCCACCCCTGCCATAAGCCAAGCTCACTCCTGGTTTATACCTGGCAGCAGCAAGAGAAACAATCTCTCATTCCAGAAGAAGCGACTGTGAGATTTTTTTGTAAATTCTCCCATGAGGCCTAATCTCAAAGTATTTGGGTCATTTGTTAAAACATGTTGCACTAGCAATAAAAGGTTAATAAAAGAGGAGGAAATAGCCTGGGGATCTAGGCCCTAAACATTTGAGTGATCATTTCTCACCCTATCTTGGTTGAGGTCAGCTGAGGTGGACCTGCTCTCAATTCCACTAAGGCAGGACTGAGAAGGGTGGAGTTTTCTCCTGGAATGGGTATGGAGGAGTCCCTTCCTGGGTTGCTTTCGAACATGCTGCAAATCCCATTTGTCTTTGTCTTGGCCTTTTTATTTAAACTTTCAGGGCTGTTCCCTCCCAACCATCCCCGCCTCCCCCATGGTATAGACCAGGGCTCAGCAACCTTTCAGAAGTGGTGTGCCGAGTCTTCATTTATTCACTCTAATTTAAGGTTTCCTGTGCCAGTAATACATTTTAACGTTTTTAGAAGGTCTCTTTCTATAAGTCTATAATATTTAACTAAACTATTGTTGTATGTAAAGTAAATAAGGTTTTTAAAATGTTTAAGAAGCTTCATTTAAAATTAAATTAAAATGCAGAGCCCCCCGAACCGGTGGCCAGGATCTGGGCAGCGTGAGTGCCACTGAAAATCCGCTCGCGTGCCGCCTTCAGCACAGGTGGCATAGGTTGCCTACCCCTGGTATAGACTAAATCCTCTGCACCAGTGGGGAACTGATCCTTTTGAATGGTGAAAGTCGCCTGTTAGGATTCCTCCGGTGCCAGCTGACAGGGCTCTGTCCACCTGTGCGAATTGGTTCTTGCATGTATTTTGGTTTTTAATTATACTGGACATAGATGCCCGGTGAAAGACAACTTGCACAGTAGCTGATACTAAAATAGATCCCAGTCCAAGCTGATACTCACCAGGCAGTGATAACTAAGTGTACCACAGTATTTCCCTAAGAACAGGCAATACTGCAGCGCAGTAAAAGTGGTGTGCATGGATTTTTGATCATTTGTTTTTCAAATGATATCTACTTGTACTAAACTCACATTCCCTCTCCAAGAAGCCCATCATCCCACCTCTGGGTAGCAACACAGCCAGCACGATCCAGAGTGAGGCTGCAGCTTCAACATTCGCTCTGGGACATGACTCTCTTCCCAGCATGCAACCTGCTTGACAGCTATCCACAAAACAGCAGCCCTACATGTCCAAGTCCAAAATCTGTGATAGTGAAAATAGGTGCTGCTCCACTGACTGTAAGAGTCGCAGCAACATTAAATCTGGTCTCCAGCATTTGTTTATACAGGTAAGCTACATTGATTTCTTACAATATATTAGCTATATATTAATCTTCTGGGTGTGTATATAGGAGCTGGATACATACACACACACACACACACACACACACACACCCACACCCACCCACCCACCCCGGTGCAAGGCAGTTTCGCCTAGGGCGCGAAACTTCCACCTTGTGTGCCCCCTCCCCCTCAAGCCCTGCGGCAGCTCCTTGCCCTCCCCCCGCCATGAGGCGCCCCCCCCAGGGTAGCTCCCCCCCCCGCAGCAGCTCCTCCCCCGGGGAGCTGTGCAGCAGCTCCCCACCCCAGCTCACCTCTGCTCCGCCTCCTCCCTGAGCACGCTGCCCCCGCTCTAATTCTCTTCCCCTCCCAGGCTTGTGGCACCAAACAGCTGATTGGCGCTGCAAGCCTGGGAGGCGGGAGAAGTGGAGCGGCGACCGTGTGCTCGGGGCGGCGGCATAGGAACGCTGTAAAAAAAAAATTGGGGGCACCGCTTTTTGGCACCCCCAAATCTTGGCACCCTCGGCAACCGCCTAGTTTGCCTAAATGGTAGCACCGGCCTTGCACACACCCCTCCCCAAGACTTGCAGGGTTATGGTTTGGGGAGAGCTGGCTATCTTGTTTCCAGCTGCTGAAGTTAAAAATAGATTGAACAATTATTTCCCCTAATTTAATTTTCCATGTAAGCAATTGCAGTAGTTGCCACAGGGATGGCAGGTGATTGACAATTGGAGGGAATGTGGCCCCCAAATCCATCTCTTAAAACGGGATCCATGCAATGAAAAAGTTTTGGAACTCTTCTAATATAAATACAAACTAGGATCCAGATTTTCAAAGGGCCTCCATTTAGCCCCATAAATTAAGTGGCCAGATTTTCAAGTGCAGAAGAACCAGCAGCTCCTACTGAAAACAATGGGAGATGCTGTGTGCTGAGCTCTTTTGAAAGCATGGTGGTATAACTGACCACAAACATGAGTTTTCTAAACAGTTTTTAGGAAGATCTGTTTCATCATCTCCATAACTGCAAAGGGCACCTTTGTGTCTCTCGGGCTTTTTTACTGACACTTCCCAGGAAGTGCTATATTTGCAGGAAGCAGAACAAGAGACAAATGCAGCATCTATTTGAAAGAATGACAAATCAGAAGATTTTCCAAAGGTCCTGTAAGTCCCGATCAGTTACTGCTTTATTTCTAAGACATTGTGCATTTTAAAGTTTAAGTTAAAATTCTTTGTTTTTTTATAAATGCATTAGGCAAGAATGCTGCAAGTTTTGTGTGTCATATGTTCAAATGGGCGCAGTGTTTCCTGTATATTTATCAACAAGACTCAAAATGGAAGCTTCCTGCTCCACTGTCGATTCTATTTAAGGTTTTTACTCTTCCTTGCCATTAATGTAGTGAAACTTCATGTTATCTTGGGAGTTTGAGTCTGAAAGCTCTATTAAAAAACTTTGGCCTTGTCTACACAACACAGTTTTGTTGACAAAAGTCAGCTTGTGTCGACCAAACAATGGAGGTGACTGCACCGAAATGCTCCTCCCCTGCTAAGCTGACATAATAAAACCGCCTCGACGAGCGGTTTAGAGCTTTTTGCAATGCAGTTAGAGTGACGCAGCACCAGCATAGACCTGCGGTTGGTTATGTCACCCTAATTGGACACACATCCCTCGGCCCGCACCGCTTCCTGCAGCTCCCATTGGCCTGGAGCGGCGAACCGCGGCCACTGGGAGTTGCGATCGGCCGAACCTGCGGATGCGGCAGGTAAACAAACCGCCCCGGCCCTCCAGGGGCTTTCCCTGAACAAGCGGCGGCCCTAGTTTGAGAACCACTGCAGTAGTGAACTGTTTTGAGCACTATCTCAAGAACTGGCCTAATCTGATGACAGTTTGTGAACAAAATCATGAAAAAATAGATGGCACTGTCACAGCCAAAGTTCTGAACATTGGGCTTCAGAGAGATGTTGAACACATGCTGAGTACACTGAAGCCTATTTCTGGAGCCTTGAACAAAATGCAGGGAAATAGCTGTTTTATTGCTGACACTGCTGAAATTTGGAAGGAACTGAGTGAGATCTTAAAAAGAGAAACATGCAATGACAGAGTTAAATTACAACATTAAAAAAACAAATGGGACAAGCACTATCTCCAGCTCATTTTCTTGCAACTATTCTCAATACTCAGTACCAGGGTCAAACCTTAACTGCTGAAGAAAAGGAGTTGGCTATGACATGGACATCCAGCAATCATCCCTCCATAATGCCAACTATAATAAACTTCAGCGCTAAGGGTGAACCATTCAGGAAATATGTTTGCTGATGTTTTAAAGAAAGTCACACCAATGAACCGGTTGAAGTCACTTAAGCACTCTGATTCAGAGACTGTTGAAGTGATAATCTCACTTTTAACAGCAGTAGCTTCTTCTGCCAGTGTAGAAAGAATATTTTCTTCCTTTGGACTAATTCATTCCAAATTGAGAAATCGTTTGGGACCTGAAAAAGCGGGAAAATTTGTTTTTCTTTTCCAGATTATGAACAAACAGGAAAATGAAGGTGAAGATGACTGAGTTAGCTGCAGAAGCCAATATTTTAAGTTTCTCATGTTGACCTGACTGACAGAATCGATTTAATTTTTGTTTTGTTTTTTAAATACTTCATTTAACTATTTTAGTTAAAAACAATTTTAACAAAAACAAACCTGATTTTAAAAAACTTGAATGTTTAACTAAATTAAAAATTTATATGCTTGTTTTGTTAAAATATTATGTTTGCTGTTGAAGAAAAAAAATCCAGAATACATAACATTGTTGTTTTAGTTAAATAAAACAGTTTAAATGTCTGTCTGGTGATGTTCTCCTCCCAATACAACATGGCAAGAAAATCCTCCAAATATTAATGATTAACCTGTTGAATTGGAGATATTTATGAAGTTGTTGGGGGGTGAACTATCTGCTTCAATTACCTTTGGTAAATGAAATAACCAATCAATCATTCATTTTCTGATATAGCTGTAAAACTAATCTGAAAGATTTTCAAAATAAATCACTTTAAAAATGTATAATTACCTTCTAGAAATGAAACCTACATTTACCTCTGAGTTGTGAAGAATATGTATTAAGGTTATAACAAGCAACAAGAAGGCACTTTTATATAGAAATCCATGATTAAATTGAGTCTTCCTGACTAGTGATTTAAATCAATTTGATTTATATCAAATCCACCCTGATGGGTGGTCAGTGAAGCTACCACTTGGGGAGGTTAGCTCCCCAGCCCACCTCTTCTGCCTGTGGCCCCGCCCATACTCCACCCCTGCTCTGCCCCAGACCCCTCCTTTCTTCCCTCCCCCACCCTGCTCAACCCCTTCCAGCCAAATCCCTGAACCCAAATGAAGCAAATGACATTTGAAAAAAACACTCTTCTGCAATTTCTTTCTAAAGAAAATGGAGACTGTTTTTTCACTGCATGCCAAATGGTGAAGACCAGACATGTAGAAAGTACCTAATTAAAAGCACTAAACTTGGGAATAAAAAATGTCGGTCACAGGTTTTTTGATATGCCCAGAAGTTTGCCAGAGATTTATTTGCAAAAACTTTGTAATAAGGGTGCGTCAGCTGTCTTGCTGATTACAACATTACATATTATGGAATACATGATGCAGCTCTTCTCTGTTTTACATTTTCTTAATCGGTATTTCTAAGCTGATTTTATATTTTAAATGTACTCTTAAGCCTTCATAAAATAATCATTCCAGATTATTACATATTTAACTCACTGAAACTAAGACATTATTTTAAATTAATCAGTCACAGAGGTTTAGTGTGTTCATAACAATGTTCATTGCTTTTAGAAAAAGGAACACTAATTTACTTTGTGTGATCTCCATAACAACAGACATGTTTATGAAATTTCACCAACTTTAAAAAAAATATGTTTCCAAAGATTTTAGGTATAACAAAGGATTTTATATCTTACTAGGTACTGATTTTGCTGGAGGGTTCTCTTAAAACTAGTTCATCAGATAGTCAGAAGTAAAGAAAGGGAAACTCTGTCCAGCTACCTGGAAGAAAGGGGTGTTGTCCCTTTAAGGGCTCTCTTCAACAGGGGTGGGGGGCGGTGTAAAGGGAGAAAGGGATGGACAGAAAGGACAGGAAGACTTTGGAAGCAAGTTTTTTTTACTATAGTAATTAAAATTAAAATGTGTATTTTAGACAAGGGTGATCTTTTGAAGGATTTATTTAAAAAACTATGTCTGAAGATCCAAGCATTTAAGGCTAAAGATGATTGTGCATCTAAAAATCTATGCAAGGATTTTTTAGAGATGTGATTTTATAATCTTCACCAACTCGCTAATGAAATATTTTAAAGCAAATTTTAAACTAAGGTCCTGTAGACTAACATGTTCTGAGTAAATAATGTTTTCACCCCTCAGCTCACAGAATATTACAGTCATGCACAACTGTTTTGCTCAGTAAATTCAGAAACTGACAGTATATACCTGGGGGTTGGCAAATGCGTGTTAAATGTCTTCATTACCACTTGAAAGGCTCTTTAACAGTTTCAATGTTGTGCTAATAGGTCTGGCAGGCTGGAGGCTTTTTCACTTTTAAGTTACTAGATCCCCTCCGGAGTAAGAGTCATCAGGCCGCAGCAGCTAGCTGTGGGAGTCTGCAGGAAGGGTCAGAACAGGGATAGGAAGAGCTGGGAGGGTGGACACTAAGAACCAGTAGTGCCCCAAATTTTCAGGTGCCGTGGGCAGCCCCGTATTCTGCGTATCCCTAAGAATGGCCCTGTGTCCCACAATGCCCATCCTGACTGCTCTGGTCAGCAATTTGAACTCCATGCCCTGAAAGTACATAGGTGTGCGCCCCTCCCGCTTTTGAAGCCTGGGAATTTTTGAAATTCCTCTTCCTGTTTTCTCTGCATGGACCATGCACACAGCAACCTTCCCAGCAGACCATGCCAGCTTTCCACAATAAACGCACTCCCGCATGGAGAACACCGGAGCTGTTGGATCTGCTGGGTCTATGGCAGGGGTGAACAAACTTTTTGGCCCGAGGGTGGGTGGGGAAATTCCATGCAGGGCCATGAA